TTCTAAACATACACCATACTCGTGATACTATGATCTCGACCAGCTGAACTGCGTCCAGTATAGGTACCATGTCGCTTGTGCCTTATTCGTTATAGCCCACGACGATACAAATTACGCTTTGCTAGAGGATATCCAAGACACGCAGGGGACGACAGGCTCCTTCTTCTTATCGACTTGAGTTCACTCAATTATTTTCCCTCTGATCGGGAAATGATCAAAAATACGTATCTACTTTATTCCAATAGCGTGTCGTTATAATTCCAATTCTTTTATATTTCGTCGTGTTGCAAAATCTTCTTTGTTTTTCTGTTTTATTTTAATTTTGAGCCAAAGTTCTAGTGCCGCATAGTAAATTTGTAAAAACAAGTTCTTCCAGGAAGAGGCGACAAAGTAAAAGGTTTTTTGAACATTCTTTTTTTCAGAGAGACAATTAAATTTAAACAGACGCTACAAAGTATTCCCGTGGGAAAACTGGGGAGTTCTTCTTCAATTGGATTTTTCCGATGTTATCTTTACTTGTAGAGACAACAGTTTTTCAAAAAAGACAACGGTATAATAGGTGGTTACGTACATTCGACAATAACTAGGTGTACCTAACATAACATACTTTTTTTTTATAGTAAATTCTATAATTGGTAATCTTTTACCATTTCAACAATATTAACCACAAAAGTAATTATTTCTATTCTTCATCGTATAAGCGGATTTGGAGGGTTGTAAATCAATACAGCTAAATTTAGACTTCTAGGTAAAGGCGATTAAATTCAATCATTTCTAGATATATTGATTACTCCGTACAGAGCATTAAAACAAACAATTTACCTTCAACTCATCTTAAGAACTGAAACGGATTCACCTAACTGAACATTAATTACTTTTGCAAAATTGGTAAATTAAAACACGGACTTTAATGTTATTTTAAACTTTTTGAAAAAGTAATAGGCGAGTACGTAATTCAAAATATATCAGCAAGGTGCCTTTTTATTCAATAAAATTTAGGACAGAGCCCTTTCGGTTGGGCATATCGAAAAATGATACGGGTATATCTACCTATAGTTTAGATAGAAATGAAATTGAAGATTTTTCAATTTTATTCTTTGTGCATAAAGCCCGTGCTCTGAATATTATCCCTGTTGGTAACCAAGAGGCTGGAGGGGAGTCTGGTGAATGTTGGCTTGCAATAGATGGGGGTTTAATTACAGACTAGTAGCGTCCCTCGGGAATGGTGGGGCTTCAGCTACCCTTACCATTGGCATTGCAGTTGCTTTCCACCTCAGTGTTCTACACGTACTTTTCACTTATATTAGCTTTAATGACACCGACTGAATGAAAGTCATTTTACTATTCAAAAATCCGACACTATCACTAATAAAACCAAATCTAGATATGACTTAATTAAAAACAAAAAATTTACGTTATGTCTATCGAACATTAACACAGTTAAAGTTTTGAATATACCAAAAAGCTAAACTTTTTAACACATTGTTTATTAAATGCAAAATCCTAGACCACAAGTACGAACAACTAACGCAAACGTACATGGAGCATGCAGGTGCAGCAGACTGGTCGATTGGCCGAGATCTCTTCCCTTTTCAGGGATGAGTCGGAGAGATAGGCCTGCGAATTTGCCGCTATCTACTATAACAATTTTGTGAGAACATAAAATAGATAAATCTTGAAAAACTATCCACAAAATTAAAAAAGAAACTCTGGTGAAAAGAAGTAGGTGATACTCCATCGGAATAATAGAAAATTAGCTATAAGAATCTTGTGGGGTTACTGGAGGTATCGGAAAATTGAACAACTTTCGCTGTGTGAAAGAAAACTCCAAGTCAAGATTTTTAGTGCATTTTTGCAGTCAGTTTTGTGAAGAGAAAATGAAATTACATTATTCCTCTCAAGAAAAATTCACTTTCAATATTATCAAAAGAGAAAGCAATTTCTTTTCCATAATAAACAAATCTTTATGAAAAGAAACAAGTAAGTTTTTATCATGTATCAGTATACAGTGGATATTGTAAGGGTGCATTAATACATAGGATGGAAAATGATTCCCTAATCTCAGCTGAAAAGGTTACGTTCAAAGGATGTGTCGGGAATTATTGTGGATAATGTAAGCCATACAACGTCCTACAGGGCGTTCAAGCAGATTACCTTTGATGTTGTAAAATCCAACAGAAGCTTATTAACTGCCAGTATATTTTCTAATGGTTTTATAATAACTTACGGAAACAGTAATCTAACAAACCACAAAGAAATACTTTCTTTACATTCCAGCAACGTGACAGCTTATAACAGTATTTCATAAACTTCTGTAAAAGAATTTTCCTTTTATATAAAACTCAAAAGGAAATTACTTAAGCCGTATAAGTATACGAAACACAAATAGACCATAAAAGTAAAGATTTGAAATGAAAGAAGAAGAAGAAAAATTAATCCTATATAATTTAACACTAACCCTTAGTCCAGTCCTGATTCTGACTCTGTTCTCTGTTTTTCCAACAGGAACTTCTTGGATTGCTACTTATCATATGGTAAATTTTCTTTTAAAATCCTTGTTAGGAAACATAATCATAATCCTAATAATAATCCTAAATTATAAACAACATCAGTGCCGTAGACTAAGGGAGTATCTATGGGTATTTCTCCTACTCATAGAAGTTCTCTAGAGATAGTAGGTATATTAGGAAAAAAATAAGAAATGAAACTGTATCTCCACAAAACTGGAAAATCGTCTGTGTTCCTGTAAAATATATTATACGAAATAAAAAGTGCGAGGGGGACAATTGTCTACCGTTGAACGCGGGAATAACTAATTATATTAATTTTGATCTGATGCTGTCTTGATAGTGTGGCGAGCTTCCACATCCATCATCGGAGATGGAGGCATTTCTGAAGAAGTTCGCTATTAGTGTTAGGAAGGAACTCCAACAGGCGACGGACTTAAGACCCGAAACAAGTCAACATCATTTCACCTACTGGCAGCGAAACCCTTTACCATCAATTCTGTTATATGTATTAATTTTATTTGGTATGTGTCAGACACAAATTTGCATTAGGTTGTAAAAATGTTTAGAGCATTATTTTGAATTCACTGTAACTAGGTATTAAGTTATTTTTAACGGACAAGGGATGATGGTGGGTAGCTACCTAAATGTCACAGTTTGCTACTGTTGTATTTAATTAAAACGTTTAAAATCTCGTGTTGCAATGAATAGAAAACTACCCGCCCATATTTACTAGATCAAAAGAGAGGAAATATTATAGTGACTTAGAGAGGGGTAGGTAGAAACAGTTTTGAATATTTTATATCGTCAAATTTGCACCCCATCGATGCGCAATAGGGGAGAAAATTTAACATGTTTTACTATAGGTGACTGTATCTAATACCTAAACTACCAGTGGAATGTTTTGTTTATTTACCATTATGTTGGTTTGTACAGCTGTCTAGCAAGGGACGATCTACACTAATAATTGAATTTTCAAAAAATCATTTTTGTATCTTTATCAGAAGGTTACTTTTATATTTAAAGATATTATCTAATATAATAGACAAGTGGAGGCCGGACAACGTAAAGTGGCCGATAGGGCTATAAAGCTTTCAAAGATTGTTTTGTCGAATTAGCCATATCTATATTTTACAACTGTTCGGGCCTATCTCTACAGCTGAAATTCAACCAGAACCATTAACATCAGTACCTGTAATGATCCCTATAAAAGCTCTTAAACTAATATTTTGAGCTTTGTAGGCACAAGTGGTCAACAAAATGCAAAACGTGTTTCGTTAATATTACTTTAAAGTAATTATTTGTTATACATTCATTTTTTATAATTTCACTTGCAAGAAATTCTAAGTACCTACCCACTTGTGCCTACAAAGGTCAAAATATTAGTTTGAGAGCTTTTACAGGGATCATTATACAGCTACAGAGATAGAATAGAATAAGGATTTCGCCAAATAAAGTTCGGACAGTTGTAAAATATAAATGTTGCTCATTCGACAAGATAAGCTTTGAAAGCTCTATTACCCCATCCGCCACTTTACGTTTTCAGGCCTGTAGATACTTCCTGTTTCTTGAAAGTGAAATTATAAAAAAATGATGCGTAATAAGTAATGATTTTAAAGTTGCTATTCCAGATAAAAATTACCTATTAATTGACTGGCTTTTGTTTAATAAGGAAAGGAAGTCGTAGGTAGGAACTGTAATAATAAAGAGGCTATAGCATTGCCTTGAAATTAAAAACAAATACACATTGTTTACGAACAAATCATTTGAACGAAATACTTTCACCATTGTGTGTGAAAACATACACATCTACCAACAATAATGTTTGCTTAACACGCTTACAAATCGTGTAAAATCATTTCTGAACAAGAAACAGACAAAAGAGCTTAGAAACAGACTTCTGGAGGGGATGAAAAGGCGGAGCTTAACTTTATACGGAAGAACGTCTCTCTCATCTTGCAAAAATATGCACAGAAAATACGAAAAAATAAACGCACAAATCTATAGGGGATGATAACTATTATGTATGATGTGTAATTCTTAAGAGTCGCTTTAGAAGGGTGGTTGGTTGAGATCTTCTGGTCACATTTTTAAGGATTTTTGTTTGTATTGTATATACCCACAAAGACAGGCATGTACATATGTAGCTGAGGCACACGATTTGAAAATCAAGTTGAAAAGCGTAAAGTAGTAAGTTGTCCGTGGATTGTGTTTAAAAGAGGGCGCAATTGAAAATGAACAATCGTCGCGTCAGAGGGTGAGTGAGAAAGCGTTTCACCCTTACGGAACAAAGAAGGCATCTCTCTCCTGATCGTGAGTCCTGACAAGCCAGCGAACAACATGGCGAGGCGGAGTTCCGCTTTTACCGGAAGGCTTCTATACGATCCGATTGGTCCTGATGTAGCACGCCTCTAGACTGTTGGCAAATATTGGTCGACAAATAGTTTGTGTTTATTATGTGTTTAGGGACCCAGATGGGTCCTTTAGTTATACAGTGTAGCTTATTCGAACTTCAGGATTTATCAGCATCAAATCCTATAATTGCTTCAAAACTGACTAATACTTGCTGAGAGATAGTGAAATGTTCCGGGTGAAAAGTTGGTGACTTAAATTTGTATCGAGATGTGTAGTAACGAGAGTCCTAGTACACCTACTGCAAGGTTCCCTGCTGTCCCAACATTTCCAGGATTAGATGCCAACATGACTCCAAGAACTCTCATGCCGATCGAACAGTATCGTCTTCAACTTTATCAATACGCCGTGGCCGAAAGATTACGTTATCCTTTACTGAATCCTTTCCAAGCGCCGCTGCCATGCTATCCGACGCTGTTTCCACGATCGCTGCAACCGGAAGAACCAAAACCGCAGCACAGTTACATTGGACTGATAGCAATGGCGATTCTGAGCGCTCCAGAAGGAAAGCTCGTCCTGTCGGACATCTATCAGCACATCCTAGACAATTATCCATATTTTCGAACCAGAGGTCCTGGCTGGAGAAACTCAATTCGACACAATCTTTCCCTGAACGACTGCTTCATAAAAGCTGGAAGGAGTGCCAACGGGAAGGGACATTATTGGGCTATTCATCCTGCAAACATTGAAGATTTTCGGAAAGGCGACTTTCGCCGTCGCAAGGCACAGAGGAAAGTAAGGAAACACATGGGACTTGCGGTAGACGAAGATGGAACTGACTCGCCGAGTCCACCGCCGATTTCGGCGAGCCCTCCTGCTGCTCCAGGACCTTCTACAGCAGCTTTCGCAGCACCTCCAACTACTAAAGTCTCCTCCAGGAAGCGACAGTTTGACGTGGCGTCACTTTTGGCACCCGATTCAGGCGAGGAAACAAACGAAGAAGATATCGATGTTGTTAGTGGTGACCAAAATCAAGAAGATCAAAAATGGCCCATGTTGCCTATTGTAAATTACTATCAAGCACTTTTACAATCCAATAGACCTTCAGGAAACAGTAGTAACACTACCGACACCAAATTCAATTCCTTAGAAAACAAGGACAATGTTTAAAGTGACGACAGGACGTTACGTTAGACTTTTTTAAACTTGTAGTGATTGAAAGTTCGAATTTATTTTAAGCAACGACGTTATTTATTATAAATTATCGCTGTGAACAATACTACAAAAGACCTAAAGAAAACAATTTCCCATGTAGAATGTGTATTACCATAATATTTAATGTAAATAAATACCTGTCTATTGGAATCGTCTTTTCAACCAGTTCCAGACATCACAAGTACCAGAGGTAATTATTTATAATTTAATATTAGAACTAGAACCATTAAAAACTATTTATCAGAGAATGTTCTAGACTTCTAGATAACAGAGCTTGTGCGAAACTGGCTGAGCTTTCTCATCTACTACCTACTAACTACCAGAATAATATGACAAAAAAGTATAAACAATTACCGTATATAATTATGAAAGCACGGTAATAACAATTACTGAATTTATATTTCTGTTTGGTTAAATATGATATGCGCGACGGAAAAACTAAAATTTTGAAGAATCTCAAAATATGTAGTTTTGTAAAAATATTATTTCATCCACATAAACGTTAATGTTTATTTACGGGAAAATCTCTAAAATATAACGGAAAATTGCTGTTCTACACATTTTAGGAATATAATATAAGTGTCATAAAAAGGTTTTACTTATAACGGTATTAACGATTAATTGTTGCATACAATATCCAATAAATATATAATTTTATTAAACATTTTAACTGACATTACTTTACCTCTAGACTGTTGNAACATTGATGATGACTTAAAATGAGTAAAATAAATACCTATATTTCGCAGTGGATTGTAAGATATATTTCTGTAGTTTTTCCGAGTAATGTAGGGATGTATTTCCTCAAAATTTGGAAATAAAAAAGAATGAACCATACAAGAGCCTAATGTGGATTTTAAGATATATATAGACAAATATGTATATTTCTGTAAGTTTTCGGAATAATGTAGGGATGTATTTCCTCAAAATGTGGAAACAAAAAAAATGAGCCTAATAATAATAAGGCAAATCTTCATCCCTAAGCGTGACAGTCTACTGAGTCTTTGAGTCAAACCAATTTCATTATTCTTATAAAAATTGGGTTAGTTAGAAGTGGCCATTTCGGCCCTAAGAGGCATAAATGTTTTGGCTTTTCAGAATAAGTACCCATTGTAATTCCTAATCTACTTAGCTGCATTTGTAAGGATTTCACAGTTTAACAACTGGGGATGGGACACTGAGTCAACAAAAAAAATATATAATAAAGAAACCACAAGACAACCGTAATGTGACGAGCTTTTTCTTTCAAGTTTATTTTGTTTGGATTTAGGTCCAGCAACATGTATCTACCTAAACTTAAAATTTGTTAAGTAAAGACTGGAAACAACAAATAATTGCTTGATGTCCTGAATGCTACAGCGTTTTATAAGAACCCTTTCAAAATATCAAGGATTTTTTTAAGTAAAAAAAGTAATAAGTTTTTCAAAATCATTTGGTACTTTGCTGTTGATAAAAATGTAATATAGAAGTTTGGTTTAGCAGCCAGGTTTTTTTTTTAAGAAAACAATTATCCATTCTGTTTCTCTTGGGATGAGGAGACAGGAAAATCTAATCAAATTTTCCTCCGTAATATGCAAAGTACTTGCTTAAACGTGTAGTTTCGATCTTTTTTACCGGGAATAATCTGGGAAACTGCCGCGGCCGCCCTGGAAAATGCCCCGGTGAGATTTAGGTTAATTACCCCCACACCCATGAATATGTTTGATGGGACACATTAAACAAATAAAGAAAGCTGAAAATGCTTTGGGGAAGTTTTGCTAAGTAACAATGGTGTTCAGGACGCGTATAAATTAGTCAGCGACTGTAAGTAAAACTCCATGGGGTTCTTTCCATTACATTACAATTCTTCAACGGCACGTTTGTGTTCGGGGCTACAATTATTTACTAATTTACACACAGTCCAATAAATACAATTACAATTGTTGCCATAGAAAGGCGGCCATGCGTTAAATTTAGCTTTACACGCGGAATGGTTTGGCACAACACGATTTCGCATCTCTCCTACAAGACATCATCAAGGTGAGTATTTATTTTCAAATACCCCGCAAGCTCTTTTGTCAAACGAATAAAACTGCCTGCTGTGAAATTCAAGTTGTTATTGTAAATATACTTCAACGAATTTTGTTGTCATACACATTACCTAAGTATATTTTAAAAATTTTAATATCCTTTTTATTACAAAATAATATTTAATTGATAAATTACGATTTGAAAATTGATTGATTGGCGCTCGCTAGGTCCTTACGAAAAATGGCCCTCTGACAAACTTTGAAATTTTAGATTCTGGCAGTTCTCAATGTGAAGATCAAAGGTCTCAATGGCATCTCATCTTTTTGAGATACGGTCTCTTAAAGTTGCATTTTTCCGTAAGGACGACGCCTATGATATGTACGGCAGTATATTTTGGTAACTTAGATTAATATAAACATTAAACAACAAATAAAATGACTGGGTTGCATGCAACTGTACTTTGAAGTAAATGCGTGCATCATTATCATCCTTGGTCCAAAACCTTGACAATACACATAGCAACTTTAAGGGACCATATCTCAGAAAGTTGAGTTTTTTTTACGACTTAGGTCCATTTGAGATTTTTGATCTATACGTCGATAACTATCAGAAAATGCAAACTTTAAGAGAGTTTGCATCATAGAGGGTCATTTTCCGTAAGGATCTAGCGGCGTCATTTAATTTCTTTTATGGGGATGAAAAGAAGACGGTGGGGGGGTGACAGAAAAGAAGTTAGGAGGAGGATAGAAGAAACATATTAGAAGCAGTAGATCTTATGATGATGATGATGGCTGCTACTTAATAGCAAAGGTAAAACCACAAATAATTCTACCAATTGGACTTGATTTGCAAATATTAAGAATTCTAACTACTGAAAGTATATGCTCATCAAAACAAACGTACCTATCCCATATTATTCGGAAATAATATAGCTTTTTATTAATCTAACAAGAACTTTAACATGCACAAAAATTTTATATAAATTCGATACTGCTTGAAAATCGTACTTTTGGTATCTACCGAAATTATAATTTAACGTTTTCTAATTAAACCATCGAGGTTCTCTACTGTATTATAAGATAATACTACTTATTTAGTGCGATTTTCTGAGACTTCCCAATTTCCTTCCCCTTGCAAGTTCCTAATGTCCTTTTGCAGTGTAAATACAGGCTAAACAACTACGGCAAAAACGAAAATATTTAGCTGTTATGCACGTAAGCTCAAAGAATTTCAGCATCAGGGCACCGATAGGTGTACCAACAAAATCAGTTGTTGAGTTCAGGGTGCGTTTTGTTATTTCTGTAGCGTTTAAAGAGGCGTTTGCTTATTTTATTTCCAGTTTAGTTTCGCCACTTGAAGCTGTTCAATGGCAATAGGGCCTCACAATGACATCAATCCGAATGGTATCTATTGTATCCGCTAGCGCTGCCCTTAGTCGTTCGTGGCACGGTTCTTTAAGGGCCCTACAGTGGCGGAACACCACCCCTCCTAACCGAAATCAACCAGAAACTATTTAATTAATCCCAATTTTTTAATGTCTTTAACCACCACAACCTTATTTACTCTTGACTATAAGCAATTACAATCATACTTATTCGTCGAATTAAAAACAAAAAAATTCCCAACGGCATTAAAAAGTAACACTTGTATAATTTAAAACGTTGATAGTTGCCGCATGTAAATTGGTATAATAGCAATTGTAAAAAAAAGCTTAGTCCGTAATTTTTACTATATACAAACTTTACATAGTGTAATGAATGCTGTATCGCTTCTTTAAATGACGAATTATATTTTGATGAAACGTTTTTTAATATTGACTTTTGTAAACATAGCGCAGTCAATTTATAGAAGCAATCTAAACAACTTAATGCCTCCTGAAATATACCTGAGCCTCCTCATTGTGTCGCTTTTATTGAATTAAGGATACGGTTTCCTTATTTGCGTCTTTATTCAATTTTTAAAGTGGTTTCTTGGCGCTCCTATGCCAACATGTTTTGATTGTATTACTATAAATAACATCCAATGTCTGTATTTATAATACTATATATCCAAATCATTTCCTATTGTCAATGCGTTCATTGAGAATAATCAGCGTGAATATAAATTACTGCTATTTTTCTTTTACTTTTTTTTTTTAATATTAAGCATTTCCTGATGATTTTAACAGCTTATATTGATTCGTTTATCGTAGAGCAACTGAAAGGTATTTTAAACAAATGTAATAACTAAATTGGAATTGTTTTTGGAGTCGATCAATACTTAATAAAATACCTATGTATTATTAACCCTCATGAATTTAATGGAATAGACTAAGGAACAAAGCTAACACATAGAAATTCAAGAAAGTGGAGAAAGTCAAGTTGACCAGAGGATTTCGAGTTATAGCAATAGGGTATGGAATTAAGAATTTATAGGCTACGTCATTTAAGGTAGTCATTAAAATTAGTGTACTAATATATAGATAAGTTCAGCGCAATGCGCGACTCCACCCTTCACTCTAATAAGACAAAATGGTAACGACAAGGGAAAATACTTATGCATTACAGAACAGACAGAGCCGTAACAAATAATTTCCAACATGAAACCGCTCACAGTATAAATATATGTAAAATTTATTATTTAGTCCAAACGATTGTTGTACCTACGTTAAAAATGATAATACATTCAAAGTGAATATTCTTGAAATATAAAAGCGTCTACATTGTCGTCTAGTTTATTTACTGTTAAAAGAAACGATCGGAACTGAAATGACATCGCCTATTTGAGCCAATCTCGGCGGTAACTTGATCTGTCAACAAGACATAGTTTGGCCAGCATTCTAGCAATTTGTTTAGAAGTGGCGAACGTCCGGCGGTTCAAGAGCTAAGCAACTAAACTAAAGTGAGAAGAGGCCAGCGAGCTGCCTGTGGTAGCTTTGCTCAAGTACGTCTTGTAAGCGACCCCCCCAGGAAGTGGAGATAGAGTAAGCAACACTTTTCAGGTGGATATATTGGGCAAAAGTAGACTCCGCACGTTCAACGATTAAGTAAATAACAACGATGAGATGTGATATAGAAAATTAAAATATAACCACAGCG